CCCCAAACAAAAAAAAAGAGTAATGTGTTCATACCTTAAGTTTTAGAGTGTTTTCTTATTTCAGTTTGCTTTTTGTCTTTTGCTATCTGAAGTTAAAGTAGAGATTTTGGTGCTCAGGTGATACATTATGAACTTCCGAACTCTTCAGAGATCTTTGTTCATCGATCTGGTCGAACCGGACGTGCTGGGAAGAAAGGAAGTGCCATTCTCATGCATTCCTCAAAACAGCACAGGGATTTGAAAGGTATTGAACATGATGCCGGGTGCAGATTTACTGAGGTAAGGGTGCTTATACCTTACAGTTTCACTTTTAAAAATCCTCATTCATATTTGTTGACATTTTCACTTATGGAGAACTGGAGGATGCAATAGATGCATGTTGAGCTACTATACCTGTTAGAGTAGATTGTTATACTTGTGTTCTGGTACTCGCATAATGTTCTGGTACTCGCTATGCAGATTCCTCTCTTTTTCTACGCATTAAAATATTTCAATTATTAACTTTTTAATTACTTTTTTCTTCTATCTATATCACTGGTTATTTAAAGTTAAACTATATGTATAATCCAATTACGGGATTATCTGAATTGGAAAAGAATGCTGAAAATCGAATTATTTGTCACAGGATCCACTTATATCAATTTTCTAATTAGGGACACAAACTTCTTACTTTACACTACCTTATCAGAGACTTCCTATTTTGAACCAATCTTGCAAGGAGTTGCAATCATATTCCTTTGTCAAAACATTGCATTTGTGATATTCTTTGGTGCTTCTAATTTTCTTGAATTGCTGAAGTCGAACACGAGCCAGTTGGAATATTCTATATACACTGGTGTACAGAATTATTATCTCATCGAATTATTTTCTCTGCATGTACTTGCTGAAAATAGCTCCCAAGTATTAAAGTAGAGGCTGGAGCAGCAGACATGTATAGTGACATGGGCAAAGGCAGCGACCGCTTTGGCTCCTATGGAGGCACCATGCGTAGTCGATCTGGTGATTTTGGTGGAAGTCGTTCTGGTGGCTATGGAAATAAAGGCAGCAGATTTGGTGGAGAAGGCGCTTCATCTTCTCGAACAGGTGGATACAGTGGAACTGGTTCTGGAAGATCAGGGGGTGGCTATGGTGGAACTAGCTCAGGCAGCTCAGGAAAGTTTGGTGGTTCTGGAGGATCAAAACGTTTGGGTGGTTTCCGTAACTTTGGTTCTGGCCGTTCAAGTAGATTTGGAGATTCACAGTCTGACCGCAATAACCGTTCAAGCCGTTTTGATGACTTCGGAGATGGCAAGGATAGTGGTGATCAGAGTTCAGGGAGGAACTCCATTTCAAGGCAAGTTTCATTCTTCTTTCTTGATTAATTTTAAATGGATGTGCTTAACGGTGACTTGTATACTCCGCAGAAGCATCTTCCAACAAGTGTAGATACTTTAACCACTGAACACAAAATGTTGAAAAGAAGATTAAAAAATACTGAGTCTGTAGGATGTTACGCTCGTAATGGGTGGTTTTTATAGGGTCCAATACAGTGGCGTAGCCACATAGAGTGAAGGGGTTGAACACCGTTCATTGGAAAATTATATTCCCTCCGTTTCAATTTATGTGAGCCTATTTCCTTTTTAGTCCGTGCCAAAAAGAATGACCCCTTTCCTTATTTGGAAACAATTTACCTTTACAAAATGATTTATAGCCACACAAAATATATTTGCCTCATTTTACACCATAAGATCAAAAGTCTTCTCTCTTTTCTTAAACTCCGTGCCCAGTCAAATGGGTTCACATAAATTGAAACGGAGGGAGTACTATGTATATAGGCCAAAAATTACTTTTTATAAATATATATTAAACCTTCTAACACCTTTTGCAAAATTCCTGGCATCGCCACTGGTCCATTATGCACGTATTGGAGGGAACTAACATTGTTGATGTGACGCTATTAGGGCCATATGCATGTAGTTGTTTTGTCTACTATGCTGTATTTCATTATACATTGGAGAGGAAAAGTTAATTGGGGGTAGGGTGGGACGTTAAGTGAAAATCTGATCCATAATACCACAGTCAAAAAGTTGTGATAATGTCATGCTGCCTCCATCATAGGAGGCTCCTTAGGTTTTAACTTTAGGATTGTGTTCTCATGTAATTTGCTTTGGTTGGTTCAGGAGGCGTGCCCCCTGGGACTTCTCCATTAATAGATGAAGGTGCAGCTGAACTCCGGCTCTGAATCGTGTGTATTGATTACAAAGGTGCTGTATTTAGAGTGCAGATGATACAACTTTTTACTATATTTGAAGTCCATATAAATAGCACTTCAGTATCCACTTGGTCTCAAAAGGCACCCACGCGATCTATAAAGGAATGTTCTTCGCTGTGTTTATGATTTTTTCATCTCAAGCTTGAGATGCATCAATTTTGCCAGAGTTCATGATTGGTACTAGGTAGTACTTATTGATGTTCTGTATTCAGTTTCTATAAATTATGTACTAGCCTAGCCTTTGTAAAACTAACTGTTGTATGTTGGACGTACTGAATTCTCATATCAACAGAAGAAAAGGTTCACAGTGGAAAGTTTACTTTGAGTTTTTCTATTCTATTGGAATACTGACTATTGTGCTAGATAACTTTATATTGTGAATCTTTACACACACACAACAAATTAGCTACCTACAATTTATATAGTTATCATGTCAAATTATGTTTTAAAATTTATTTTTTTCCTGGAAGCATTTGTTTTTTTTTGGCCTAACAAGTGTCTGGTGATTTTTACTTCAAAATTTGCCCAAAAAAGATTTATATTAAAATTTAGAATAAGAATGCTCATTCAGCTGGACAAACTATTCTCAGTAACCCAAAATCGCAGTTAGAAAAAAGAGGGACATCAACTTTAGGAATTGAATGTACTCTCAATGCCACGTTGAGCACAATGGCTGTAGTAAAGCACAAAAATAGGTTAACATACTCATTTATGATAGTTCTCAACCTAAGTGAACAAAAATGAGAAGAAATGTACAAAACTTTTGAGCGGCGTCCTAGATTTTTGTTACATTGACCAGTGAATGATTTTTTTCTTCTCAATCAGCCAGAATAAACTTGGGTATAGTAGGGTATTTGTTCTAGTGCTACCAAAGACGCAGGAAAGCGCACTTGTACATAAACTTGCTGTTGATCTGCTTTGTTGGCTAAAGCTCCTGTCCTAGTGCACCAGTTCTGCAATTCAGCTTGGCTGAACTATTAGTAGTGCAACGTCTCTATGTTTAGCGCAAAATAGTTCTGCCGTTTTTCTCTGTAACAGCTTCAAGAAGCTTGTACATCCATCTATCTAGCATGCCTATCACAAAATGAATACCGACATGTCAGTGTGTTTGATTATATGTAGAAGATTTCTGACTGAGGCTGACTAACAGTTAAATTTCTTCTTCAAGAAACAATTTACAGGGTAAATGCCAGTCAAGAAAAGATTTTAAGACAGACGTACACCAAAAGCATTATGAAAAAGTGACTCGTCGATTCTTAATTAGTAAACGACTTCTTAGGTTAAGTGTAAATAAAGAGAAACACTGCATTCCCAAATCCATCACTGCCATAAAATCAGCAAAAAAATCTGTATCGTACTTGATAGCAAGAATGATATATAAACCTAGTCGCCTCCAGATGCTGTGGTCTATAAAAATATCAGGCAAATGATCACAACACAAAAAGTTAAAATACAGATTCCTTGCATGAGAACTGGGAAAAAGAGATCCAAACACTAGAGACTATTGGAGAGGGATTTCCCCTAGGAGTTAGCATTCAGCTCTTGATATATGGGTGGTGAGGAAGAATCAAAATAAAACCCAAGATTCACAATTTCTCACACCAAACATTGCTAAACACTTTTTGTACACCTGAGAAAATGATATTTAACTTCTTCAAAGATATTCAAGTCAAGAGCCTTCAGTTCAACTAAAGGAGGAGCATTTCAAAAAGAAGAACAAAACAAATTCGCAGGGATTGATGCCTTATTAGTGGGGTTTCACCTTATCTAAATCTTACAGCTAAGTGTTAAAGGCAAACCTGTTAAGGCAAATGTCCCACCCAAAACTGCACAGAGCCGAGTGATTAGGTGCAGAAAACTGCGACGTTCTTCTCTGATGGTCACAGTAATTGGTGATAAATCATATAAGAAGTATACAGCTGCATATAGTCACAAAAGACATTCAGCGAACTATAAACAGAGCAAGATGAAAAGGGAGAAGGGTATCTGAGGCTCACTCACCTGGCCAGGTCCGATCAAACTCATTGATGGGAGAAAAGTACTCCGTCACGGAAAATTGATTAGTTGGTAAAACTTCTTTTGATATATACCTATACTCAGTTGGAACAACCTACATGACAAAAACAAGAGTCAAAACATGCAAGCACGAGAGCACATCCAGAAGAAAAAATCATTGTGACTCAACACTAATCTTCTGGCCAAAACATTCACAAGGAAAATCAAGCCAATCAGGATACATGCTTCAACTAATATTCCTTGTCAACACTGTTAGATTGTTTGAACTGTCTCATCCAAGTCTAAGCTTGCTAGGAAGGAGACAGTTTATTTTAAGTCTACAAACACGCTTACTGTCATGGGCTGCTTTCCATCATCGACCCATGACCCCTTGGACGCGCCCCGTGGCGTCTCGGCAAGCCTCCCAACGCCTAGCGCCACGGTCGGCCCCGTGGTCTCGACAGCGCCAAGTGACAAGCGCACATGCGCCTCTGTCGCCCCACCGATAATCAGTGCCAGCGCCCAGCGGTTGGCGAATGCCATCAGTGCCGCGCGCACCGACAATGCTGCGCGCACAATCCATCATGTTGCCAACAGCGCCGCCCGTACAGACAGTACCCCGCGCGCAGACCCAATGCTAAGCACCAGCGCCCAGCCGCTGGCAGATCCAAATAGTGTCGCGCGCGCCAACAGCAATGCGCGCGCAGGCCCTGATGCTCAAGACAAAGTTGCTGCCATCGGACTTGCTTCCATAGAAGACTAAGTCCTTTTCATTGTAATTATAGAGTAGTTTTACTTCATTCATTTTCAGTGTGCTTCTACAGCTTTCTTAGGTCAACTCATGTAATTTTGGTTTATTTTTTTTTAAGTATTATTAAGGGGGACCAAAGCATTCAAACATTCAAGCATTCAAACAATTCTTTGTACTGGTGTCTCTCCCCCCCGACACCGCATTGCATCTTGTAATAGCTTTCATCATCATCAATACAATCATCAGCTTTCATCATCAATTGCTCATTTTTCGCTGCTCAATTGCTCACGACATTGGTTTTCCCGTACGGCACTGACAATCTAGTCTAGCGTACGGCGAGGGCCTCAGTTGGCGCATAGCAACCGCACTGACATCGGTTGCTTAGCCTTACATCGCCCTTCCAAGGAACTTCAGGAAGGCGCCGCGTAACATTACTCACGTTCAGTCTTGATTTTTTTTTCTTGACCCAACACATGGAAATATTTTTGTGGAGGAGCGGCAGTTATACTTGAAACCAAGCCCTCTCTCGATTTTGTAAATTGTCTCGTCTAAGATTTTAAGTCGCTAGAGAGGAAACACTTTATTTGTTTATCTTAGCTTTGCATCATAAAATCCCTAAATGGATTAAAGGGGGTTGGCCTACTGGAGAAGATCTTTCACCTCCAATCGTAAGGTTACTGGTCCAAGTCATCAATGCATAAAAAGTGGAAAAAATCACTGATGGCCCATGGGAAGGGAGGTTTGGGTGGGCTTTAACATTTCAAAAAGAAGTACAAAATCCACCAAATGAAAAAAATTTGGATGCTGAGGGAAGCTGGCAGCAGGAAAAAGTTCCCTAGTCATAAAACCGTGGCCTTAAACGAAAATAATAATAGACATTGTTAACAGTGACATACCCCGATGCCATAAGAATTGTCACCTTACTTTTTCAGTTGATAGTGGAATTTTTTTATTTTTTTGACGAGGTTGTGTAAAGCAGCAAAGCGGTGAATCTATGCACTAATTAGATGATCCATCGAGTATTTTTTTGCAAGGAGTATTAAAGCTAATAAACTGCTTTGGACGGCATATTTCATGCTATGTAATTAATTATACAACAAGGTGCAATATCATGATTCCTTTTCTTCTCTCATTTTGTTCTTATCAGTAAAAAAGCTATAATACAATTCATGCTATGTGATTATACAACAAGGTGCCATTTCATGATTCCTTTTCTTTTTTCTGTTTTTAGGATAGTAGGTTTGGTGCCATTTTAATCTTTAAAAGCCAAGAATTGCAGATATTTAGCCTTTGGTGGAGAACAAGGATAATTAGGTCCCTATTATAATGGAAAAGGATGCAGATTTACAGACTTAAATTCAAGTTACTCATATTCCACAACATAAACCAGACAAATAACAGAAGCATGCAACCATAAGTACAAGTTTATTCATCTCACCACTTTAAGAAAAATGGTCACGGGTCCATGCTAAAAAATAAAAAAAGAAAAGAAAGAAAGTATGTCAAGGCTATGTTTGAATGCTCTAAGAGTATTCAAACAAACACTAGATTAGATCTCCATAACTAACAATGAAGGCTATACCACAAACCTTAATGAAATATTTGAATGTGCCACTTGCTCCACGCAGAATTCGTGATGTTCCATCAAGCGGGTTATGAATACCTGGATATTTGGGCCCAAATGACAAATCATGAATGATATGGCTTACATTGACATGAGTAGACCCTTCAAAAATCTGCATTTTCAAAAGATACAAATAAGAGTGAGAACATAAACTGGAAGTAAGAAAAGAGAGAAAAAGGATCCTTTAAATGCCTCTGTAACATGCAAGCTTTGAGAAGAGCTTGATGTACTTCAGAACAGGGATTAAAATAAAAATGAAAAGATTTCTGCACTCAGACCCTTAAGAAATGTGGTATTCCTAATTTCTCTATACCTGTTTCACAAGCTATCTAGGAGCTCGTTGTACAACTAAATGATCATAGATCAAACCACAAGCAAAATCTAAAAAGTAGCTTCAGCACAATTTCCTTTTGTCATGCACCAGTACAAAATAACTAGCAAGTTTTATTGACAAAGCAGAACTTCCACTTTAGTTGAACCACCTATATAATATGATAGAACACCAACAACCGAAGTAAAAAACTCTCAAACGGAGGGTTATTGCTCCAGTTTCTTAAATGAACTCTAGCATCTTCCAACTATACCATCAAAATTTTACGGATTAAAACTTCTCACACTATTTAACCTGATAGCTGATACCTTATAATAGAACAAAGTTCAATGGAGTATGCACATTTTCCAACAGTAATCATGTGTGTCCATCAAATCTACAAGAAGAATTTTAAAATATCAACAGAGCTGACCATTTGAGCAACAAAAATGTTCAATCCGTGAACAGATATATGGAAATTCCCAGCAACTCGCTGTACATCCAAAACCCCATACACCTGCACAGAACAATGTAAGCATCAGTAAAATGCAACACCACCATCACTTAGTTGGCCGAAGTGGCAGCAGATTTTAAGGCCCAGAGAGAGAGAGAGAGAGAGAGAGATTTGGGGGGGGGGGGGGTTACAAATACGAGAAC